ATCAACTTTGTAACCATCATAGACACACATCAATATAATCAAGCAGGACGTAGGGCTTTACCTCTTCGAGAGGGCCCGAACCGGGGTAAACACCATCTCCACGCCCCTTGTTACCCACTGATCCAAGATCTACAGCTTGGGACCCCCTACCCGAGATCTGTCGGTTTTGACACCGACATTGGTGCTTTCATTGAGAGTTCTGTTGTGGGATCGCCAAAGGATCAATGGCTCGCCTAGTCATCAGCAATGGCATCTGCTACAGGGACGTCTTTGTCCCCGAATAACTCTTAGATGATCATGGTTTGCAAGCATTCATCATGTCCGAAATGAACTAGAGGTCTATGCAAAACATTGAACATGCCATATGCAACTTTGATCAGACATGAACAACAAAAGCATACCGACTCTTGTTCCATCATTCCACCGAACAGGTCGGGGGGAGCCCGGGCACCACCGGTGCCCGTGCTCATCCGCGCCCGAATGAGCTGCGGCTAGTGACCAACGTGGTCCAACGGCGTAATCCGCGTCGGTGGACGAATGAATGGGGTGCGGGGTTTCGGGCGTGGCGAGGGGGGAGGGGGACATCTGCTCGTCCATTTTGGCACCTTCCTGCGAGCCGCGTCGCTTCCCTCTCTCGCTGTCGGTGTCGCCGCATCTTTCGGGTGACGTTCTCCGCCTTGCGCGACGGAGCCGAGGAAGGGACGCCGACGGACGAGACGGATGCAGTCTCCGTCGCGGTGCTAGGGGACGGGTTCGATGACATCTAGAGCGGTGGATCAGGACTGGTGGTGAGGGTGGGGAGCAAGGGTGGCAGACAGTGAGGGCTCGGGCGCGGGAAAAGTAGGAGGGCGGCGGGAGGAGACGAAAGGGTTTGGTGGATTTTATGCAAATTTTAGTGGGGTAGGGCTGTCCGGTTCGACGTAGCGGACGTGCCCGAGCGCACCCGGATGCCCACATATTTGCCCGGGTAAATATCTGGCACTCCCACCCCTAGGGTGCTCCCGGTGCTCCAAACTCGGTAGCACATTTTAAAATGTTCGAAAAATTCTAAAGAAAATCCAGCACATTGACACAACATCAATGTATGTTTAAAAAAATCAAATCAAAATTCGAAACATTGCTCGAGATACAAAAATGACTAAATGGACATCAATGTGATAATGGGCCTAATCTAAAGCCCAACTTATGTTGTGTACTATTTACTGTCGAATTTGTCATTTATGTTTCGAATTTTGATTTCAAAATTTTTGACAACATACTTTGATGTTGTGTCAATGTGCTGGATTTTTTTCAATTTTTTTTAAACATTTAAAAATGTGCTATCGAGTTTTGGAGCACCGGGAGCACCCAAGGGGTGGGAGTACCAGATATTTCCCCATATTTGCCCCATATTAAGGCTGGATATGACGGGTGCTGGTCAGTCCGAGCATTTGAGGCCCGTTTAAGGAGCCCATCTAGGTCACATTTTTGTAACAGGTGAGTGACCGGGCCGTTCACCCGGGTGTTTGTGGCGGGTTTGGGATGCCTGGTTGCAGATGCTCTAACTATCCAACAACAATTGGTTCGCTGTTATAGGTTCGTCGCCGCCCCTGGTTGATGTGCTAGAGGTTATAGCTGGCCAAACAGGTCGGGCTAGCTGGGCCGGGCCGATAGCACGTAGTCACGACACGGCCCAGGCTAAACAGTCCAGGCCCGGCACGCGGCACGCCAGGGGCCGTGCTTGAGCTTGGAAGGTGGGCAAACGGGCCAGCACAGCACGACCCATTTATTATTATTATACTTTATTTTATTTTATTTTATTTTTGATCAAAGAAGGGTTCCCCCTTCCGATTTTCATTACTGAAAACCAAACTTACAAAGTTCTCAGAGTACCAACAGCAAAAGACAGATTCAACATCCCAACGCACATAAACAAAGTCTCCAACCACACATACAAGGCCAACCCGGCCAGCAAAGTCTGATCGACACAAGCTAAAGAAGGACATACTGATAAAGCTAGCTACTAGCAGGCCTACACAGACTCAGAACAGTAGCAGAGAGAAGGTGTTGCAGCCATCATCCAGGGAGCCTTGCCACATTAAGTCGCCACCCCTGCCCTGCTGTGTACAACTCACTTGCTGTCCATTCTAGTATTTTTGGCGGCTCCTTTGTCTGCAAAATAGACCAATCAAGCAACCATCGGATCATTAGTTTGATAATCTGCAAAGGATCATTAATCCTTTTTTCTCAAAGACAATTGCATTTCTACTTTTCCAAATAGCCCAGAATAAAGCAGAGACACCAATCAGCACCATTTTCTTGTCTTCCTTATTGAATTTGTTTATCCATCCCCCAAAACAATCTTTCACATTTAAAGGACTAGTTTTCAAGCCACACACACATCTGACCAAGCTCCACAGCAAGGATGCCGCAGAACAATTGAACATCAAGTGATCAATTGATTCATTTTGTCCACAAAAAACACATTCTTTTCCTCCTTTCGACCCTTTTTTAAGTAAAACATCCCTAGTTAAGATGCTTTTTTTATTCACTAGCCACAAGAAGACTTTTATTTTGGCAGGGACTTTGATTTTCCACAAATATTTCTGTGGAAATTTAATCCCAGACGTAATCATTTCCTTGTATAACGATTTAACAGAGAATTTCTTATCAGCATGAGGCTCCATTCAATTTTGTCTTTCCCCCCATTCATTTCTATCATTTCACATCTACTTTTCAAAGCATTCCACAAATCTAAAATTTCTCCATGCAAAGTTCTCCTGAATCTGAATCCCTTCCATCCTTTTTGGATGGCCTCATATACAGTTATTTTATGATCAAAGCAAATGTCATATAATCTAGGATAAGCATCTTTCAGGGGCTTATAATCAGCCTAATAGGCCTAAATTACAGCCCATAAGGCTGAACTATAAACAGGCCGACGTGCTAAACAGGCCAACGGCCCGGCCTGATTAGCTAAGCAGCCGTGCCTGCTCTGGAGGCGCAGCACGTGGGCTGGCACGAGAGCTCCTATTGGACGCTCGTTGCGTCAAATTGGTGGCCAGACGCACAGGGGACAGCTCGACTGGGCCGGCCCATGAAGCTTCACCGCGGGGACGGAATAATGGCAAAAAGAAAACTCAGGTGCAACGAGGATTCGAACTTGCAACCAAATGCCAGCGACCGCGCACACGTCACCAACAGACTAGACTAGCACAATTAGTTAAAGTGCAACGCATGTGTTAAAGAACTAAACCTGACTTGTGCACTGTAGCGAACAGGAACCAATTACTGAAGTGAACCCAAAATTACTTGTTGTATTGATTTGTTTTGAAGTATAGTTTCTTTGAATGTGTCTCTTTAAAAAAGTGCGCACATTTTTTGAATTCATGAAAAAATAGAGACAAGAACATTTTTCGAATATGTGAACAAAAAAAATTGAAAAGTCAAAAATTGTTTTTGTGATAACGTGAACAATTTTTCAAATTTGTGAACAAATTATGAAATTCCGAACAAATTTGAAACTGTGTGAACAAATTATGAAATTCCAAAGAAATTTGTAACCGTGAACATTTTTTGAATTTGTGAACATATTATGAAATTCCAAACAAATTTGAAACCGCGAACATTTTTTGAAATTTGTAAACAAAAATTTGAAAAATAGGAACATTAATTAAAATTACGATCAATTTTTTATAAAAAGAAAAATGTTCTTAGAAAATGTGAACAATTTTCTGAATAGTGATTGGTTTTAAAAACATAAACATTTTTTGAACTGGTGAACAAATCTTGAAAAAACAGGAACATTTTCTAGATTCCGAACATTTTTTGAATTTAGAGAACAAAATTTTGAAATTGAGAACAAAATTTGAACATAAATTTTTTCTAAAAGTACGAACATTTTTTGAATCTTGAGAACAAATTTTGAAACGAAGAACAAATTTGACAATTTCTTAAAGCATGAACATTTTTTAAATCTTGAGAACAAATTTTAAAACCGAAAACAAATTTGGAAGCATGAACAATGTATTAAAGCACGGACATTTTTTGAACATAAATTTTTTAAACCATAAACATTTTTTGAACTGGTGAACAAATCTTGAAAAAACAGGAACATTTTCTAAATTCCGAACATTTTTTTAATTTAGAGAACAAAATTTTGAAATTGAGAACAAAATTTAAACATAAATATTTTCTAAAAGTACGAACATTTTTTGAATCTTGAGAACAAATTTTGAAACAAAGAACAAATTTGGAGAATTTCTTAAAGCATGAACATTTTTTGAATCTTGAGAACAAATTTTGAAACAGAGAACAAATTTGGAAGCATGAACAATGTATTAAAGCACGGACATTTTTTTGAATATTTAGAACAAATTTTTGAACAGAGAACAAATTTGAAAATACCAAACAAATTTGGAAGCGCGAACATTTTTTGAACAATTTTTGAGAAATGCATACAGTTTTTGAATTTGTGAACAAAATTTGAAAACACGAATTGTTTTCAAATTCTGAACATTTTTGTAAAAGCGCGAACATTTTTGAAAAAATGTGAACATTTTTTTGAAAAAGAAAACATAAACTTGAAAAAAAAACGAAACAAAATAGAAAAAGAAAAAAAACGGTTCAGCAACCTTCTAGAAGGTTCCCAAAACCGGAAAAAACCACCTGGAAACCTCTAGAAGGTTCCCAAAACCGGGAGCGCTGGAACGGTTCAACGGGCCGGCCCGTTGCGTCGCTGCTCGGTCGCTCGCCTGTGCGAAGGGCCGGCAGTTTGACGCAACGAGGGGCATATAGGATTTTCCGGCTGGCACGGCATGGCCGGCTTACTAATCGTGCCCCCATGGGCCGTGCCTGGCCCGATTAGCAAGGGCCGGGCCGGCCCGTTTGGTCAGCTGTGCTAGAGGTTGGTTCGTCGGCGGCCCTGGTTGAAAAGAGGCTGAAAACTTCCACGGACCGGGCCACACAAGTCGACAATCCACTACTCCACACCCCCACACCACATCCAGTCAGACGACAACATGACCCGCCGCCGCCGCCGCCGCGGCGCTCGCCCCGCCCCGGCCCCGGCGGCGCTGGAAGACGACGACCTCCTACGGAAGATTTTCCTCCTCCTCCCGCCTCAACCCTCCACCCTTCCCCGCCTCTCCGTCGTCTGCAAGCAGTGGCGCGACGTCGTCACCGACCCCCAATTCCTCCGCGGCTTCCGCGACCAACACCGGAGACCTCCCCTCCTCGGCCTCGTCATGGGCCACACCGGGCCCCCCTACTTCAGGTCCGATCTCGACCCTCCAGACCACATCTCGCACGAGCGCTTCTTCCCTCGAGACATCCGCAGCATGAACATAAACGACTGCCGCCATGGGCGCGTCGTCTTCTTCGCCCAACGGCTGGGCGAGGTCGTGCTGTTTGACCCCGCCACGGGAGGCCGCCGTTGTGTGGTCGTTCCACCAGTGTTTACCGGAAAGGAGATTGGCGTCTTCAACGCCGCCGTGATTTGCGTTTCCTGTGATGAAGGCCACGTGCACGGCGATTGCCACGCCAGTCCATTTCAGCCTTTCAGGTGGTCTTGATGGGCATCAGTGATGACTATAAACAAGCTTTCGCCTCTGTCTACTCATCGGAGTCTGGCATATGGGGCGATATCATCTCCATAGAGAATCGTGAGATGTATAATTTGAGGCAACCCAGTACACTTATTGGAAATGCCCTTTACTGGTTGTTTCCTGGAGATGATGGGGAAGGCATACTGGAGTTTGATTTGGGTAGGCAGAGCCTAGCCAATATAGAGATGCCGCACGGTCTGGAGTACTATAGGCATCGCAGTCTTCAGGTCATTTTAGCAGATGATGGCTGTGTCGGCCTCGCCATTTTGTCGCGCTATAATTTTGAAATGTGGGAGAGGAAAGTCAGTTGTGATGATGGTGTTGCTAGATGGGTGTTGGCGTGTTGCAGAAGACCATTCAACTGAACACGATCCTTGGATTGGGGCCTATGGGGGGAATGCACAATTTACTAATGGGGTATGATGAAGTTGATCATGTGATTTATATAAGGACGGACATTGGTTTCTGCATGGTTCGACTCGAGTCAATGCAGTCCAGGAATCTCGGCAAGGAGAATTTCAGCAATACTGCCTATCTTCCCTACAGAAGTTTCTATACTGCAGGTAGTTCTCTGTCTTTACATTTGAGCAAATAAAAATATTGATTTATTTTTAGTAGTACTTGTTTCCTGGAATAATGTGATAGTAGTACTGAAGTGTTTGTGTAACTGCTTAACTCTACTTGTCGTATTCATATTTTCTTTGATATTAGTGGAGACTGGACTAATGTCATGTTCAGAGAATGCAGCCAGTTTTAACTAATTTTATTCCATGACTGGATGTAATAAAATCATTACGGGCCTTGGCAAAACTTCCACTGTTTAGGCGTTGTGCTTTCTATTATTCTCCGCTCATTTCATATCCTATGGAATCAGTAAGAGGTCCACTTATTATTAGATGATTTTCTGTGTATCAATTGTTAAAACTGTGTGTTTTCTGTTTGTGTTTTTTGTCATTTTCCGCATCTTTCCTATCTTGTGGCATTAAGCTGAGGATTATAAGTTGTTACTGACTAGTTAGTGTGTGTGTGCCGAGAAAATGTAAAAACGTGAGGCTAGGCGATGAAACAATGTTCTTGCAACATTTTCACTTTTGGATGTTCAATTCCCCCCTTTTAGTTCTTACAGTTATTCTGTTAAAAGCAGTAGTTTTAACCACAATATCACACCAATGACCATTTATCATTTGTCTGTGCGACAAACTCATCTGTCACCTACTCATACTAACACTCAAGACAAGACTATGAGGTCTGAGTTCATCTTCTTTGCTTGTTTTCTCAGTTTCTTGGTCTTCCCTCTTGTCCCCCTTTTTTCCATTTTCCCAGTCTGATGATATCACTTCTCTGTGCTAGTGAGTGACTTGGCGGTATGCGAGAGGGGGACTGGTGACCTCTTTGCACCTCTTGCAGATGATTACCTCCTTGCTTCATGGGGTGTAGGAGCAGTAGAAGGTAACGAAGCAGCTACCTCGAGTGAAACCTTACCGGAAGGAGGTAACATACATGTATCTTGGGCTTTATGGGTCTATAATCTGTTATACATTGGAGATTTGGACTTTGATAGGTCGATTAGTAGCTGAATTCTGGGCTGCTGTTAGCAATGTCGTTAGTTTGAAATGTGATTTCGCCTGCTGCTCTGCTAGTTAGTGGTTTGTTGTTACCTCATTCCTGTCAAATTTTTACAAAACATAAATAAATAAACAGGTTTGTGTGTGCCAATATCCTTACCAAGATTCCAAGCGGGGATTTGGAAGATATTGTGGGTTGGTATAACATAGGGCTTGAGTCTTTCGTTCTCTTCTCGCCCTGCAGGAACGTTCGGCGAGTCAAAGCAGAGAGATCAAGGAAAGGATGCAGATCCTGTGCCTACCCGGGTACTAAAACAAACTCGAATTGACGTGATATTCAAAAAGGAGACGGAGACAAGATCAAAGCTTAGCAAAGCCTGGGCAAAATGGTTTCGGAGCAATGGTGTTCCTGCATTTAAAGCAGACTGCCCACACTTCCGTAGTGCCTTGAAGCTAACACAGCAGCTAGGTACCCGCCTCGTTGCTCCTACAGGCAACGAAATAGACGGTGCAAATCTGGACGCCAGTGATGAAGAACTTCCATAAGTATGTAAGGCGAACTGCTTGAGGATATGGGAGGGCTAACTACTTTACATCATGTTTGGACAAAAGGCTTGTGACTTTGAACCGATGATCCATGCTTTTGTTTCTGTAAGTTGGGTGTAGGGCTAGTTGAGTAGTGCCTCATGAAGTGTACCGAGTCCTTTTGACCCTTGTTCCTCACGAAGATGTGACCTCGTTTCTGTTATTTTCTTTGCTAAGTTGACTAGATTTGTAATAATATCCTTGTCCATTATGCTATGAGTGTCCTCTCCTCTTCCTCTAAAGGACGCAGTATAGGATGCCTGCATTATTAGAAACTTGTGGTGTTGGTGGTCAGGTCAGAGCTAAGTATTCCGTAGATGACAGCTAGTAATTGAACATGGTTTATCAATTTTGTTTTATTGTTTTGCATCATTTTCTAACACCCCCTTACCTTTGATTTTAGAAAGCTTCTTCCCGTTCCCCAACTACACATGAAGGTCTTCAATTTCTGCGACCAACCCAATGGCGGTTTAGTGCAAAAGTCAAGCGGCATGACAAACCGACAAGAGATCGATGGCTGATGAGAGCGAAAATTGTTCCCTAGACAGAGTTCCATGATTATCACATTTTGAGGCCATGCAAGAAGCTTGAGCTTTTCTGTGAAGAGTACACCCCAAGCCTGGCCGGTGTGACATATTGCCCACTAACCAATCAACCTTTCCAATAATCACACCCTTGAATCCACATACACACAGTGGAATCTACCTTTGCTTGCGCTACTCCGCCGTCTCTTCCAACATATCGCGCGGGGTCATTAGCGCCTTTCGACGCCTCTATCAGGCTAGAAAGTCAAGTTGTTTAGCCACACTTTATGGCCGTTTTTAAGTTGGTGGTTGCCTGCTCACCCGGTCAAAAAACCACCCATCTGGAGCCCCTATCTTTCAGAACCCTCTCATGGCTAATCTTAGCAACACTGCACTGGTTCCTGGAGCAGGCAGGCAGATCTGGATCCGTGTGTGCTGACTGCTAAACAAAGGTTGGTTGAGGCTTGAGACTTGGGTGGTTGCAAGGCATGCAGCAGAGAAGCAACGGCCTCTGCTCAAGTGTTTAGGTTATGGTTCACACAGCAGAGGAGCCACAATTAGAGGATGTTGGCTGCACACCTGACCCGAGTTGGTCGGTCATGCCCTATTTTCATGGACTATCTTCTCAATTGTTCTCTGTAATAATAACTGTAAGGAAGTCGCTGCCATGACATCTTTATAGCGTTAGATACATGTTATGCATGTCTTTCTCACAAGTTGGAGTGTGACCTGATCCTTTGGCCAGATGCAGTGCAACTGTGCAAGTGCCCGCGACAGCTCATCCATTGGCTCATTCCTTCCTATACCTTTGCCTTGTGGCCTTGTGGCGCCTGCTATTCCGAGGATGCGGTGCACTGCTGGTTCTGAAGCTGAAGACCTGATCAAGGTCTGTGCTGTTTGGCTTCAAGTCAGTTTGGAACTGCCAGTCGTGTGATCTAGGTATTATTATTTGCCCTGTTGGTGCAAAGCAAGCAGAAATGGAGGCTCATGCAAGTTGCTGGCGGTTTACTAGAGAAATAGAGTCTGCAAGTAACTCTATATCTAACTTAAGATTCCTCTAATAATTAGAAAGCTTGCACCCTAAGAGTTTGCTTATGGCTGACGGTAGGAGCTCTATGTCTATATTCTCTATATTATGGAACCCACCAGGCTATCCCTGTTTGGCTATTTTCCGGTACTTAAAGAAGAGGGAGTACGAAGTCGAGCAATCAGGGGGTGTGATGACGGGAAATGCAGAGGCAAGTTGGGTCCTCATCAGAAAACCCGCTACGGAACGAGGACCTCTTGACACTTATAAACTACATCAACTGGAGTAGTAGTATATCTTCGGAGCTCACTTCTTAATTTGTCAGTCACAATCTGATTGGCTTCCGATAGATAATCGTGGTCAGTCCAGGACATGATCCTTCCAATCCTGGCACCATAAAGAAACAAATGAACACTGCATCGAGAGCTCCACCAAGTAGAGCGGGACGGATGACGCGGCACAGGATTGTGGTCCTGTCTGATTGGCATGCAACGCATATTTCTCTTGATAATAAAAAGAGGGTGCTTGGAGTTGGAGATGGCCATCGGCAGCAATCACACGCATCGAGCAACATTCTTCTTAGGGCATCTCCAGCCGCGCCTCAGGAAGGCCTTCCCAGACGATTTTTTCGCGCCGGCGCCGAAAAAACGGTCCAGTCGCGCCCCCAGAAGCCCGATTTTCGCCGGCTTGGGCCGAAAACAGCGCCGGCGGACCCAGCCCGAACCCGACGCGCTGGGGGCGCCCGGGGGCGCCGGGGCGAGCTGTTTTGGCGCGAAAAAGACGCGGGCCAGCCGCGTCAGCGACTCGGCGCCTCGTCTTCCCCCAACGGCCTCGGTTCCCGCGGGGAATCAATGGCAAGGCTGCCGCCGGTCAGCCTTGCCATTGATTCCTCACGGGCGGCGCTTCACGGGACGGCGCGCCGACGCCTCCCCTCCCTCGCACACGTACACACGGGCGCGGCCCGGCTATAAAAGCCGGCGGCCTCCACTCGCCTGTGCCCACACCAGCCCCGCCCCTCGCCGCCGTCCAGCCCCTCCCTCTTCCTGCCTCTCCCGAGCGCCGCCGCCCAGCCCCTCCCCTCTACCTCTCCCGAGCCCGCCCAGCCCCGCCGTCGCCATGGCAGAAAGATTCCCCGGAGACGAGGCGGCGGCCAACGGCTTCGGCCGCCGTTCGCTCCGCGAACAGGAGTCCTGGCTCCTGTTCCAGGCGAACATCCCGGCGCCGCCGGACATGCGCGCCGGGCCAACGGGGTGGAGACTCAGCGCC